TAGCGCTTTTTACAACAGGTGTTGTCACAAAGCAGCTTTACAGAAAAATCTGGGTCCATGAGCAAGCCAATGGCAACAGTGGCAAGGAAAAGCTCCCTAAGAGCAAGAGGAAGAAACCTTGAGAGGAACCAAGACTCAAAAGAGGAACCCATCCTCCTCTGGTCGACACCGGATAGCAAACAGCATTAGTATAAAATATTAGAATACAAAATGGGAAAAACAGGTGGAGCAATGGTTAATTAGATAGTTTGAGTTTATGCAGCAGCAGCAGCATCAGGAGGGTCAGTTCATGCAGGTGAGGTTTGCACAGGTTTGTACAGCATGAAATTTCATGGTGGTCAAAACGGTGCAGATCAGCCAACAGAGATGGAGCTCTGGTGACTCTAGCAGCTCTTGTGGCTCCCATGTGGCGACTCAGGCAGACGTCGCTCAGGGGCTCAAATAAAGGGAGGGACAATAGCACAACATTAAATAAACATTAATTTTCTCTGGCCCACGGATTTGTCAAGATTTTTTAATATGGCCCCTTTAGTGGTTGAGTTTGACACGCCTACTCTAAAGCATATGCATGAGGAAGAGAAGCGCATTTTGTATTTTTCCAAGCATCTCTGTCATAAAAAGCTCAATACATCTAGTCCTCTGTATTTGAACATACTTTAAAGCCTCATTCTGAGTGCCCTTATTGTAAAATAGTTAGCACCTGTTTGGAATTCATTTGCATAACTATTTGGCAAAGACTCCAGTTTCAGCATGTATATGTACAGTGCATTATTAAAGTCAAAATGTTAAGTGACGTTAATTCTCTGTTGCGCATGGACGTTCCTAACTGACAGTGACAAGGTGGCTTGCAGAGGACATTTAGCATCTGTTGCTACAAACGTTGCAGATGAAAAAGCTGAGAGCAGAATAGTCTGCTGGTTGAGCAGCGCAGAGTCTTTGCTTCTCTCTCAGAGAGAGGTTTGCCTTTGCCAGGGAGAAGCCGTGGCCCGTTTGAAGAGAGCAATGCTGTCACAAACCTTCCACACCAGACGCAAACATGATTAAATACTGCTGGCTGCCTTTGTCATTTTGTTCCTCTGTTGGTACATTTTATTATTGTCCTCCTGGTATTGATTTTTGGCCTTTGCTGAGGAAGGGTTCGGGCCAATGAATCGTCCCTGTGTATTACTCCCACACCAACTGTCACCACAGTCCTGAGACTCAGTTCATTGTCCGCAGCCACGGTTAGCATTAATGCAGCCAACGCACGCACTACTCTGTAGCTTTTTCTGTAACTTTTTTATTTGTCCCTGTAAGAGCCGCTCTGATTACGGCTTCTTCCATTGACTGAGACGCCCACATTCATCATTGAGGAAAGGCTTTTAAGTGCTAATGGGTTTCATCAATGCACTCCGCTAATGCACAGAGACTTGTTTAACATGAAGCTGGAAGGAAGAGTACGAGAGAGAGAGAGAGAGAGAGAGAGAGAGAGGATATATGAGAATCATTCAGGAGAAGGTCCCCTATTGTTTATTATATAAATTTTGTTTAAATAATTCTTTGTGTTGAAGTTTTTATTAAGTAAACACACGTTTTCTCCAACTGTCAAATGTCCTCTGAATTGCGAGGCCATTAAATAGTCGAAATATAAATATTGCTACAAGCAAGCTGACATTCCTGCACATTTCATCAACCTAACTTATTTATGTTAAAATTATAACAACACATCTCTTTAGCACAATCGTAAAACAACACCAGGCTACTGAAACTGTAGTCCACCACTGCTGGGGCGACTTAACTACTTCACTTGACAAAGCTGGCTGGTTTACATATAGATGCACTGATATGGAAAGTTTGGGCTAATGCTGATATTATTTTCATTAGCAGTTAACATTTATTTCTGTAGCATTGCAAATACAGTAAAATTAATAAAATGCAGATATTTTAGCATAGTAGCCCAGCATCACCTAAATGTTCTGCTCTGCTGGAGGACAATAAATACATCATCAAATATTAGATTGAAATATCAGCCAAATATAAACATCTGCCCAATGCCAGTATTTTTTGAGCCAATATCTGCCACTACCGATGTGATTCTGATATCGTCGTGCATCCCTATTTGCCAGCGTTAAGATGTCAGTTCAGTGTTATTGAGCATGTAGTGTGCATGTAGCAATATTCCTTAAGAACTTAGTAATTCAAATGACTCAGTGATATTCTGGGGAAAGATGTATGCAGAGGAAAATGTGTAGGTTTTTGAACTCGGAGCACATAAAAACAGAATCATAAAAAAAAAAACAACAATCATTTTTTCCCGTAGCTAAGAACTTCATCCACATGGAATGGCATGTTCTGTTTGTTAATTTCTTAGAAAAAAAACACATTTCCTTTATTGCATTTATTATGAGGTTAATGTTTCAGAAACATATGTCTGCTGTCGGAACAAAACCTTGTATCTCCAAAATGGTAACTTTACAGGAGAAGGAAAAACATACTTTACTTTTAAGTAAATGGAACCAGATTTTTTTCCAGGTAATTTTGGGCCATTTCTCTTGGTCCATTCATCATGAAATGTACACACAGTGTAAAGGGAAACATTTTCAAATTATGTGAAAAACTGAAAAATGACAAAAATGGAGATACAAGGTTTTGTTCCGACAGCAGCGATATGTAATTCCTGAATACATGCAAATATCATGAATCACAAAGCCAGCATTAGTTTTAATATAAAAACTGCAAAGCTTGATATAGCCTCTGTGTTTAGCCCTTCATAGGCTTTATAATTAGCTAATGAGCCTAATTTAGAGCAATGAAACCTCAAAATAGTGCAGTTTAGGGCCTTCAAAACTGGAGCTGGACAATGCATCTACAAAACAAAGCCTACTTATGCAGATATGGCAAAAATATATAGATTCTGACTTTATAACAAATTATAATTAGATCATTTATCTCACCATGCACTCAAAGTTTATCTTGCTAAAATATGTAAACATACTATATATACAGGCTATGTTTAGCTGTTTATTAGAAGCTTTGTATGTGGCATGACAATTCGGTCACAACTTGTCGGTACTGCTCCTTGTCTCTGATGCAGCTTATGGCGAGCCAGCACTGTACTGTGCTCTGTTTTCGGTACAGCACTCCAGAAAATGTGCTGACCAAAGGGCAGTATGTGGGCCAATATTTGTTTGAACATTATTGTATAAAAAAATTACTCAAAACCACTTATTTCCAGTACTGTCTGTTGGAAGTTTAACACATTTAACATGGCCTTTCTTACTTGTCATGTTCTACCCTTGTTCCCGGCAAGTATTTAAATAGACAGTTGGTCTGTTCTCATGAAATCCAGGACTCACAACAACTATAGTGTTGTTGAGTCTTGAGAGTTTTAATGCTTTTGCAAATCAGGTTGAGGTTTTTCACCAGAAACCACAGGGATACTGTATGATGTTCTGTTGCTTACTGCATGGATGCACATTTCCCCATTTATTCAGTGTTTGCAAAACCAATCCATGCATTTTAAGCTCAAGTGAAGAAGAAACTGGCTTAATTATTATCTTAAAACTAGATGTAAAAATCATAATTGGATTTGTCCCGTATGGCGTGGTAATTCAGGTATATGTTCTAGATGAAGGGGATGGAAAGCAATAAAAGAGACAGAAAGTTTAACTCCGTTGACTCAGGGTTGGAGAAATCAGCTCACATTGCCTGCTGTCTCACAGTAGTAGTGGTATCAGTGATTGATGGTGTAGAGAGCATGTGTTGAAGTGTCCTGCGTGTGCAGTACTGTCCTAGAATACAGCCACTCTGTTTCTGTCCCACTCGACCTTCAGCCCCCTGCAGACAGAGCACTGTTGGCTATACTCACATTCCCATCAGCTCACACTGCATCTATGAGAATACTATAGGTGTACAAAAACTCCCTTAACTTTCAATGCAAGTTAATGTAAAGAGATTTTGTTCCAAGTCATTTTGGAGCATTTCTATTGGTCTGTTCATCATGAAATGGACACACAGTGTAAAACACTGCTGGTGCATTCAAAAGATGAAGAAACAAAAAAATCTGATGACATTTTTTTTGGATAGTGATGATATTCGTGTGTGACCATGCTGTACTCCAGAGGAGCTAAATTGAATATAATATTTTATATAATATTTATATATAATATAAATATAATATTTTCTGAATTCCAGAGAAACAGAATGAGATCATTTAAAAGAATGTGGTTCATATTAGTCTATATTGGTGTGACTTCATGAAGGTTATGACTTGGTGTGTGCATAATGTTGAAGCTTCTACCTCTGTGTGTGTGTGTGTGTGTTTGTGGTGTGGATTCTCGGCATGGAAAATGCCCTGTCTCCCCTCATTAGCAGGAGGATAACGAGAAGTGACGTGGTAATTGCTGAATGTCTTTAAAAGACTTGTAGGCTGTCAGTTGCTCGGTGAATGTGTGTTGCCAGAGGACCGCACACGTGAGTTTGTGTGTGTGTGGAGGGGGCGAGGAGAGGGCAGTGTGTGTGTGTGTCAGTACCTCACTATGAGGAGTTCAGCACATGTCCTGTGTGTCTGAAGTGTGAGGGTCACCTTACACGCTGTGAGTCTGAGGTAAAAGAAGGCCGGTGCCACGTCCTCTTCCTGCTCGGCCTCCTTCAGCCAGGCTTTGATCCCCAAAGCCCCCATCCCTCAATCAATACTGCACAGTGCAGACATGAAGACCACTCATCTTTTCATCTGCAGAGAAAAAAGTTCTTTTCTATTCCCCTCTGTCTCTCTCTGTCTCTCTCTCTCTCTCTCTCACTCTCTCTCTTTCTACATCTCCATCTCTCTTTATCTCCCAACCTCTCTTTGCCTTTCTTTCTTTTTCCTCTGTCTGTATTCTCCCTTCTCCCTCTCTCTCGGTCTTTCACTCTTTCCCATTTCTCTCTATCTTGCTCTTTCACTCTTTGCCTTCTCTCTTTCTCTCTCTCTCTCTCTATTTCTCCATCTCTCTCTAACTCTCTCTCTCTTCTCTCCACTACAGTGGCGCCCTTTTCTCCCAGGCCTGAAATATGAGGTCATCGATTCTGCCTACATCTCTCTGTACACAGGTAAGCCCCTAACACACACACACACACACACACACACACACAGTCACTCCATGGTGAATGTGATTAGATGGGGAGCTTGACCACAGATCTGATGTTTTATTTAAGCCTCTTTGGCAATAATTCTCTCTCTTATCACAAATGTACTCAGTCAGTTAAGACATGTTTGATTTCCACAATTTGCATCTCTATGTTTGAATTGGAGCTAGGAGGCTAATGTAGCTAACAACCTTTTAAACGGCAGGTTTATCATGTCTGGTGCTTTAAAAGAAGCAGGTAGTGCTGCTTAGGTGGCTGGTAAACTAATTTGATTGACAAGTAGGTAAGAACAAACAGGAAAGACTCGGCCAATTAATAAACATTTCCAAACTGACAGATATGGTTCATTCCAGTGAATTAGTTCAGAGTTGGAAACCCATGTCACTTTTTAACTCACCTGGACTTTAGAGTAAAATCATTTTGCTTTGAGTGACTTTACACCAGGGGTGTTGAAACTTATCCATAAAGGGCCGGTGTGGCTGCAGGTTTTCACTCCAGCAGTGCAGGAGCGCATGTGATCATTTGCTGAAGACAGATACCAATTAATTAAACAATTGGAATCAGGTGAGCTCCAGCTCGTTTGGCATGAAAACCTGCAGCCACACCGGCCCTTTGCGGATAAGATTGGACGCCCCTGCTCTAGACCTTAATTATGTTTACTTTATTAAAATCAGTAATTAAACATTAGATTTGGTCACTAACAAAACAATCATAACACTACTGAAACTTTACCAAATGTTTCAGTAGCGACTGCTTTGGTAGTGATTTTAGGTTATTTTTATAGTAATAGATGTGTTTGCTTTACCACTGCTATGAAGACCCAAATGCTTTTTATGTAATCTGAGAAACTATGAATAATTTCATTAAAGTAATTAAATTATTCGATTTGTATGTGTATCTTATTTCCATAACTTGCAGAGCTAATTTTTCAGAGTATTAACTTTTTTCAATGCATCATATATGATAGGACCCATGATTTCATATAGTCAGAAAGGCAAATGTATAGCATAATTATTCTTCAAACATATTTTCACTTCTTCACCTTTATGGTCTATGCTACAGTTTATGGGTCATTCCAATTTCCAGCCCTAATTTTGTCCACCCACCAACATGCTTTTTCTCTCACCAAGTCCAACCAAAATCCACCCAATTAGACAGGAACCTGCCCAATCTGGCAACACTGGACAGGAACGCAGTCTCATTTCCTGGTCTAAAAGGCAGGAGTGTGGCTAAAATAAGGCTCCGCTAATGGACTAAAATCATGTGTCTTCAGTGGTGACATGACATAATGGAACAGCGTTTTTTTTTGTTGTTTATTTGTTTGTTTGTTTTTTAGCAATCTTTTTTTTATTTAAAAATTAAACTAATAATAAATCTAAATCTTTTAACTTCACTTTAATAAAAAATCAAAAAGGTATTTAAAAGTGTGCAAAATAATTAAATATGATTTTCACAAGTTGAAATTCAAGGGTTAGGGTTTGGGACAGATACTTCCTTATAGAAAGTACCTTATACATTAGAAGTTTGTATATATTTAGCTTACTTCAATCTCTATTAATGCCTTGAGTTGAAAAGATCATAAGAAACATAATCCTTGTGAATATCTAAGGTCTGAATACTTATTTTGTGTTTTACTGTGGGATTGCAGTTTGAACTAATTCAGTAGAATGTTCCATATAAAAACACATATAAAATGTACATAATATTTCTTTAATAACACATGCAATAAAGGCAACATAAAGAATACATTGTGTTCCAAAAACAGAAACGCTAGTGTTTCCTCTCTGTTGGGGGAATCTTGTCTGGATAGTTTAGGATGACATACGTTGCCCTTCAGAGTTTCCTAGCAGAAAGTTGACGCTTTTTCACCTTAGAACTGGTTTCATAGCACAATTGCATTGCACAGGCTGGAGAAGTGCTTTTCAGTCACAGTGCACATTTCTCCACTGACAACAATGAAAAGAAGCACGATTGAGAGGGTTTGAAAAGGCGTCGTCTGAACACCCCCAAACCATCACACACTCGCTTCAAACCATGTTGAATTATTAACTTCTGAAATAGACTTACTTATGCCTGTCGCTGTAATAGCGAGCTGCTCTGCCTCCGTTCTGGAGATGGAGTGGCTAATAGACACAAGCAGAGAAGACACTTCAGCACTGAGATGGTGGTAAAAGTCGTGACTGAGCAGTTTCCAGGTTTTGCGTTTTGCTGTTTTGCACTCAGGGAATCGGCACTGCATGTTATCAGGGTGGAAACAGACTCAATATGTCGAATGCTGCTGCATGACGGAGCCAAATCCAACTCCTAGAAGCAACAGAGCATTTTCCCCCACTTAAACACTGTTAGCAGAATCAGCCCATGATGATGTAAACTCGGGTCAAACAGAAATTAGCATATTGAAACTACTTGTAAAAGGGAGAGACGAGCAACATTTTCAAAAACAGATCTTATCAATCTGGGGATCTTAACTGTCTTGCGTATTGTTGCCATGGGAATGAAACTCACTCCTGACTGCTGTATATTAAACAGTTTTTTTTTCTTTGTTTAAATTCTGTTTTTTTCATTACCCTGGGAAGCCTGACTGACTTGAACAAGGCTCTAAATATTGCAAAAAGCTGAAATCGTTCAGGCTGTTAATTTGACAGTTTAATTTGTGTTTACGCGTCCGTTCCCACAGCGGTTTTATGGAGGTGGGAGAAAGGGATTGTGGGAGACAGGTTGCTTAGCAACCAGAGCCAGCAGAAGCTGGAGATTTCCGTGCTTAACCCTTTCTACTCTTGAGGTATATGTAGTCTGGTGTACTTTGGAAACCTAATGTGGCCTTTCACAGCACAAAACCCTCCGACAAGGCACAGTGACTCCTTCTCAAGCTCAGTATTCACTGTGCTCTGTCTAGAATGTAATTTCATTCTGCCTCAGACTTGATGTTGCTCACTCATTCACTGTTTACCTTTATACTGAGACAGCTGTTCCTTTATCTATCCATCAGTATTTGTTGCCATGCTTATTAGAGGTGGTCGATATGGTAAAACTACAGTATAAAAAAGACATTTACATGATACATGATCTGTTATTTAGTTTTTGATAGTGTTTGATAAGTTGGAACAGACATGAAAGAACCAGTACTCATCTATTACCATGCATAATGTGTGTTAGTTATCCTCTAGCCCTTCATCAGTGGCTCATTTCTGAACGCAAGGCTGGTGGCCTATTGACCTACTCAGCAGCTGAATGATCTTATAATAAAAGGGGAATTCTGGCCTAAAACTATTTTATATGACTTTATATAAATAAATATACATTATAATGAGTATATTATTTGTCCTGTTTTGCAGTGTTTGGGAGCACAGCACTGTATCCCTCAGTCTTATCAGTTGGAAAGAATTCATTAATTTTTATATTGTTATCACATCAACGCTCTCTTAATACAACACCCAGCATGCATTACACAAACACATCATCCAACCATTGAGAATCTCGGTTGTGTTAACCAATCCTTACTGCTAGTCTATCAACTGAACTACAGGCTAATATACACAACCAAGCTAGCACTGGTCTTTCAAGAAAACAGTGATTCCATGTTTATTCAGCATTAAAGGGATTCCAGATAGTTTTTTACTCACTGTGGTAAGGTATCTAGACTCAAGGTGAGGTAAAGTATCTAGAGTCAAGCTGAGGTAAGGTATCTAGAGTCAAGAGGAGGTAAGGTATCTGTGAGGTATTTGTGAGGTCAGACATTGATGTTGGACAAGAGGGCCTGACTCGCAATCTCCATTCTAGTTCATCCCAAAGGTGTTTGATGGGCTTGAGGTCAGTGCTCTTTGCGGGCCAGTCAAGTTTTTCCAAACCAAACTCGCCCAACCATGCCTTTATGCACTAGAGCAAAGTCATGCTGGAACAGAAAAGGGTCTTTCCCAAACTTTTCCCACAAAGTCGGAAGCATAGAATTGTCCAAAATGTCTTGGTATGCTGAAGCATTAAGATTCCCATTCATTGGAACAAAATGGCCTAGGCAGGTAACGTTCTCCTGGCATTTGCCAAACCGTCTATCAGACTGTCAGTTAGAGAAGCGTGATTCGCGTGAACCATGTCACCACGCGAGACATGGGTGTGGCTGAAACACCTGAACTCAAAATTTAGGAGGGCTGTCCCAATATTTCTGTCCATAAAGCATAGTTTGTAGACAGGTACTACAGTTATACAGCTGCAACAATATTCTTAACAGTAATATTAGCTATGTCATTCTGTATTCACCAGCTATTGAAAAAAATAACAGCTCGCCCCCAAAAATCCACCCCAAGCTACTTGTAGTTTTTCAGATGATCCTCCCACTTTCAAGATACATCATCAGAAAAGTTTTTCTTAATTTTCTTTCTTTAAACCATAAATCATTAAAAACATGTTTACAACAATTGTAGCCATGGTTGCATTTTTCATTTTGGCTGGGGTGTCCTTTTAAGAAATCATAAGATTTTGTGTTTAACAGAGTCTTTTCCCTGATGGAAGAGTTATCAAACGAGAGTAAACAGGATTCATAGAGTCCTGGACTGCTTTCAAACCCTCACACTGAATGCTGGAGTAATAGATGTTATCCTGAAGCGTGTGTGTGTGCCCCTCATATACTGTGTCTCTCCAGCACCCACAGTATCAGTAAAAGCTACTCAGTGACCCTGACTGAACGATGTGCACTCGAGCTGAAAAGGAGTAAGATTTGTGACCATGCTAAATTAATTAGCACCATGCCAAATTAATTTTTCAACATTTTCTCACAGTGTTAGCCGTAGCTAATTCCTCTCTTATTGCATGGGCGGCTGATGGCTGACATGAGCTTTCTCTGTGACTTATAGAGCCAGTCAGCTGCCACTCATGCGGTTTTATATGAGAGTGCTTGGAGAAGCAAACAAACTGCCCGATTCTGCAAATGTGACCTAACAGACACCCTCATTTGGCTGCCTATAAGAAAGCAACACGTAAGTCGTCCTTCTCACTCAGTGAGACCAAAGTCAGATTTATTCTCATGGAACCCCTGCTTACAAAGAGTTGTGGCAATCCTAGGATTCAGATTGAGACCCAGTGGAAAGCCCAACTCTGTAAAATAGTACCTTAGCCAATTGAGCTATTGGTAAATCCTGTTAGTCTCTCTTAGCTTCTGCCCATATCACAGGAATTTACTGCATGGGTTCTATATGAGCTGCAGGCCCACTTTCACTTGTCTAAACAGATACTCTGGCATTTTTAAACTGAGTCTTTATCTGCTATATCTATAGCATACAGTTGATTAATATGAGAAATAATTGTCTCACAATTACACAGGAAACCTGTTGATTGATTAAAATACACAATTATAATAGCACCTGCTGAAGCCTCTGCCCATTGACTTCCATTATAAGTGTTTTGAATCAGTGGTTTTCTGTTGTTTCACTGAGCGCGGACAAATGTGTCAGAATTATTGTCTGTGGTAAACGACTGTATGCAACAGATGTGGGAGTTTATGTTAAAAAACACTTCAGTGTTCAGAGCTGTATGTAATTTTAACATGTAGCACTGGTGCTATAAAAGCTGCAAGTGTTGCAGCACGAATTTATTTTTCAGTGTTTTATATATGTGAAGTGATATATGTTAATTTAATCAGCTAATTAAAAAAAACAGGCTAAATTATCACATGTAGGCTAAAGATAGCAAAGGCAGCAGGCACAGAAGGTGGTCCTTCAGCTACTGAACCCAGAGAAGTCTTTTGGGTTTACTTACTTTTTTCAGCAGGCAAATCATTCCTGGCTTTATGTAGGACATTATAGCACCAAGCTAAGCAAATTTGAGGAATTTGGTAAATAGCAAGGCCTTTTAATAACAAAATTTAGGTCTGTTCTCTAATGTTATGGACTACAACTGCCATAAACTCCAGAACGTTTGCATGACTATAGTGAGCAGATGATTTAAGCAGTGGGGAAATTGTGCTTGATACTGCGCCCATCACACAGTTAGAACAGGTCATGAATAATTCACTATAAATGGCTGACTACAAATTCCATGGGTACTTGGACTTGACATAAAATGTACACACCATGAAAATGTATGCAGCTGTGATCTTTTTTGCACACAATTAATTTCTTCTAGCACATTTGACAATGTTGTCGCATTGTACAGCCCTGGTATTCCTTTTAAAGTGTGCCCCTGCAGCAGTTTTTCAAATACAACTTCCAATGTGCCCTTAGTTCTTACTAGTTACACATTGTAAATAACACTGAAACCTTTGGCTTGCCTTGTGAGGCCCCTATGGACTCATTGATGTTGCCTTTCTTTTTAATTACTCGCTGCATCTTCAATTAGACCACAATCTGACACGCACATAAATCAGGCCTCTTCAGAGAGCTCAGATGGATGATGGATGGTTGGATGGATGATGGATGGATGAGTGGATGTATGGATGAATGGATGGATGATTGGATGGGTGTATAGATTGATGGATGGTTATAATTAAAGTTGTTCTCTCTGAGGTTAAAGCTTTGATGCAAATAAGGAATGGTCAGTTATCAACAGGTAATCGTTCTTTCACACTGCCGCTGATTTAGCTTGCTTTTCTGGTAAACTTTGAAGCCTGCATGCACTCCACCAGCAATGTGATTAATCAGAAGGCTCATTTGCGTATCACAACCATCTGCAGTATCATTAATGCACAGGTCAGTATTGTAATAACCATTAACTTGATGCCAAAAAGTGGCTATTTCTGATAATAATGCAGTTTCGTAATGCTGTTGTTCTTTATAAGAACATGATCTAACAAAGATGAATATCCATAGATGTTTTTATTTAGTCTGTGTCTGATACACTATATGGACAAAAGTATTGGGACACCCCTCTTAATTATTGAGTTCAAGTGTCTCAGCCACACCCATTGCTAACAGGTGGATAAAATTAAGCAGGCTTCCAGTCTCGATAAACAAACGCTGTCAGTAGAATGGGTCGTACTGATGAGCTCAGTGACTTTAAACATGGCACTGTCATGGGATGCCACCTCTGCCACAAGTCAGTTTGTGAAATTTCTGTCCTGCTAGATCTGCCCCTGTCAACTGTAAGTGCTATTATAGTGAAATAGAAGCAGGAAGTGGTAGACCATGCAAATTCACAGAGTGGGTCTGCAGAGTGCTGAAGCGCACAGTGCCTATCCTCCGTGATTCACTCACTAAAGAGTTCCAAATTGCCTCTGGAAGCAACATCAGAAAAAGAACTGTGCGTTAGGAGCTTCACAAAATGGGTTTCCGTGGCCGAGCAGCTACACACAAGCCTAAGATCAAAATGCACAATGCCAAGCGTCAGATGTAGTGGTGTAAAACACACCGTCACTAGACTCTGGAGCAGTGGAAACGTATTGTGTGGAGTGACGAATCACGCTTCTCTATCTTTCAGTCTGACGGATGAGTCAGGGTTTGGCGGATGCCAGGAGAACGTTACCTGCCTGACTGCACTGTGCTAATTGTAAAGTTTGGTGGAGGAGGGATAATGCTATGGGGTTGATTTTCAGGGGTTGGCCTAGGACCCCTCAGTTGAAGTGAAGCGAAATCTTAATGCTTCAGCATACCAAGACATTTTGGACAACTGTGTGCTTCTAACTTTGAAGGACAGTTTGGGGAAGAACCTTTTCTGTTCCAGCATGACTGAGCCCCAGTGCACAAAGCAAGGTCCATATGTTGGCATGATTGGGTCAGTTTGGTATGACCCGAGTTTGGTCTGACCTCAACCCCATCGAACACCCTTTGAGATGAACTAGAACAGAGATTATGAGCCAGACCCTCTTGACAACATCAGTGTCTGACCTCACAAAAGCTTTTCTGGATATATGGGGAAAAATTCCCTTAGACACACTCCAAAATCTTGTCAAAAGCTTCCCAGAAGAGTGAAAGCTGTTATAGCTACAAAAGAGGGACCAACTCCATATTAATGTCTTTGGATTTAGAATGGATGTCATTGAAGCTCCTGTAGGTGCAATGTGTGGGTGTCCCAATACCTTTGTCCATATAGTGTATGTGCTCTCAGTGAGCTTGCATGCTGTCTCAGAAAAAAGCACAATGCATCCAACAATAAAGGAACCTTCATGCTCTTTCATATATAGTGATAGAAAACATCATGGCAGGGCTGATTCTACCTTTAAGTGGTATAAGCAATTCTATACCGTCTCTGGGTCACCGTGGGGCACTGAGTGCGTACTTTTTAAAACTGATATTAATATAATTTTTGAAAAAAGTGCAGTGAGTCCAGAGATTTACGCTGATTTGCATCTTACATTTCTTGTCAAAATTATTTAAGTACTAATTCTTGTTCTATGTTTGCATGCAAAACAATATTATTGGGGTGGGTGGAGGTTGGTGTAATGTCACTTGGGGCTGTAAATGTTTAGGAACAGGCTTGAAGGTAAAACACAGAATGCTCAGATTCTACATGGCCATCCATTTCGCTATTGCCAATGTGGGGGAGCATGTTGTAACTGCTGTAGTGGCCGGTTTCAAAGGGACATCACCAAAGTCTCTGAATATATTTTTGTGAGGTGTTTGGCTTGACAGCGTTAACAAAGAATACACTGTACAGCTCCAATGTCTGAAAACAAAGCAATCTCAAACTGATATCAGACTGTAATCCAAGTGACTCTTTTCAACTTGAAGAGGAGGAGAACATGAGAGCACACTAATGTCATCTGGCACTTTTAGGTCATGCCCATACATATTTGTGATTCACTGGAATTAAATGCATTTGAAATACCTTCTCATCTCTCTTGAAGGAGTGGACTGAAACTGGTTGATGGTGCTGTAACTCATGGAAAATTTAATCTATCCATTTATCAATAAGGCCCTAAAACACTGTGCACTTTATCCCTCTGTCCCCTCCTCTGTGTGTGAAAGATGAGAGCAGTTTGAAGATGAACAGTGTGGATCACATCCCTCAGACTCTGGCCAGCCACAGTCGAGTCCCTGGGGAGGCTGAGACCAGCAGCCGGCACGGCGCCGACATGCTGAAACCGGACCCCCGCGACACCTTCTTTAAGAGTGAGCATCAATCTGCCTCTCTTTATCACTGTTACTGTTACATACTCTTTCTGCTGCATTAGTCTTATGGTGGACTGAATATACTGTATAAACGAAGTCTGTCTCGCCTCCGTTTCTGTCTCGCTGTCTCTGCAGCACCCATGATTGACCCGTCTCGGCTGGAGAATGTGCTGCCCTCCTGTCTGTACTCACCCACTTATGTAGTTAAAGACTTCCCCATCGCCCGCTACCAGGGCCTGCAGTTTGTAAGTCCGAAACCCACACACGTACACTTGTTTTTATACAATGACAGGGCATAGGGTGATACAAATGTCCTATATATACAGTCATATGCAAAACTTTGAATGAATACCCCACGTCCAATTACTCCAATTATATATTTTCTAACTGAAAATAAGTTAGTGCAAACATAAATATGGCATTTGTCTGCAAGTTTTAGTGAACAATTTCTATTTTTTTTCCAAGTTTAACATATTGAGATAGAAATAAAACATACAATACAAACAATGCCATCATTTTTGTGTAGGCCATATTTTATATTTTAGTTTTTTTTCCATTATCTCAAATTCATCACATAAACAGTAATTGTGCATTGAAATGTGCAGACGTGTGTTCTCTGTAGAGGATGTGTTCACTTATTTTCACTTAAACAATTTAATTTGACCAGGGGTGCACAAACTTTTGCATTCAACTGTATAATAAGAAACCACAACTCTAAATCTAACCTAGACCTTAACCTCAGTAACCAAAAATTTGCTTAAAATTTTAAACAATAAAATAGTAGGTTAGACTGTCCTTTTTTCATAAAGTCAGAACATTTGTGTTCTGAAAATGTATTAAAAACAAATACACACATGATGAATAGATGTAAAATGTTACTGTCATAACAAAATCCATTATAGTAACTTTGGAATGGAGAAGAAAAAATGCTTGCCTTTCAATTTGTATTGATTAATTGCTTGTGAAATGTATAGATTGTAAAGGGCAGCTGGCACAACAATTTCAAAAGAAATAAAAACCAAAGAAATTTACGAGGTTTTCTCGTAAATTTTCAAAGGCTCCTTTAATGCACCTGTTGCACAGGACTCTCTCCAGCTGGGGAAGCGCACTAGCAGATGTTGATCAATGCTGCCCCCATTTGGCCTGTTCATTTCAGTGCAGGAGAAATGTGCTGCTGGAACCATATTCAAAACGTCCTCTATTACAGATAAAAAGTTACATGATAAAACCTGTAATCATTAGCATGAACTAAAAGGTTGAATAAAAATACTAATATATTGTTGATACATCATTTCTAAAGTGCTTTGCATAAACTAAAAGATTGAATAATAATAGTAATGCATTCGTGAGACTTCACTTCTGAATAACTTTCCACATGTTGAAGTATAGTAAGCTTTACAATATAGCTAGATTTCTGGGTGAAGACAGCAGCCAACATGCTCATTGTCAGTGTGTCATGTTTATGCCTTTCTTTTTCACTTTCTTTTTTTGTGACATGTTCTTTTATGTTTAGGAGAAGCATCTTTCTGTAATATTTCAGTTTCTAAAAATGCTTCAGTTCAGAGTTGAATGTAATCTTCACAGTAATTACTACAGGCCTGCAGTAATCACAGTTCTTCTAAAGTTTCTGCCTTCTGTTTGTCTGCTTTTATGTAACCGTAGTGTATTTCAGTTCATTGTTTTGCAATTTAAATATGCCTTCAGTTAATGAAGAACCTTGAATATGGTTTCATGAGCAGAAATATTACCAGGCTGCTGTAAAGGAGCATTTTTACTGCAGTAAAATATTTGCTTTTATGTGCCTTTCTCTTCAGGTCTATTTATCCTTCGTCTATCCTAATGACTTCACCCGGCTCACCCACATGGAGCGAGAGAATAAGTGTTTCTACCGGGAATCACCCATTTATTTAGAAAAGTAAGCTCCCTTTCAGAAATAAGGAGGAAAAGATCAGCTTTAGTCATTAGCCAAGAAATCCTAAATGATCAGAATAATTGTGGAAACTTGCCTTCAATAAAATAGCCTGCATGCTTGATATCTTGACCTCTTTGGTGTAATACTTGGTACTGTTGTAAACAAAGTAAGCAGTGTTCTGTGAAGTGTACAAGTCATTAATCTGCTGTGAATTCTGCATTATCTGTCGAATTCTTAGTATTTTTTTTGGTTCTTACAATGATGTATTTTTCAGGTTTGGCTTCTACAAATACATGAAAATGGATGAGGAGGAGGATGATCGGCCATTCTTCTTCCCCAACCCTGATGGTGGGTGCCTGCTTGTGTGTGTGTGTTTGTATTGGACAAGATTCAGCTCAGTGATCCAGAAACAAAATGAGCTTTATTAGAGGGGTATTTACACAAGGTGTTTCATTAGAGTATGGCGCATTCATATGAGCATAAAGGCTCTGAATTGGAGCCAGGAATGGAATGGCTGAGATTGATTTAATTTCCAAACAGAGGACAGCCATATTGCCTGGAAGGACAATCTGAGGTCCTTTGTGGACGACTGCCAATTGGAAAGGCATTTCAGCCTCGGTGGGCCTTTAACACCACCACTGAAACAGTGGGATTTGGGATTCATTAAGCTGCTTCTGTTGGTTCTGTATTTATTACAGATTTTCTTGAAGAGGAGGAGGGAGTGGATCCTGAGGATGAAGCAGAGATTGTTGGCACTCCTTCATCAAAGAGGACCACCCGCCCCAGCCAATCCAGTCACACCTCTAGCCCCTTCCATAAAGTAGGATCCATGTCAACAGGGGAGGCAGAACTAAAGAGCCCAATGCTGAGGAGAGAACAAAGGCATTTCTTACACAGGGAGGACCCAGTGGATGAGGATAGGAGGAAAGGGGCAGGGCTAGAGGAACCTGATGGCATAGATGAAGGTGCAGAACCAGAGGACCCTCAGAATGAGAATGTGGTACATGGTCGCTCTCTCTCTTGGATCCGGAAAGATCCAGAGGAACCGAGGAGAAAGAGCCGGTCTGATGATCGCTCCCCAAAGCTCAGCAGATCGACCCTGCTGTTCCCTCAGAAATCCTCCCTTGTGGCTCTAACCAGTCGAGCCAAGCAGATCCTGACCAACTCTGCCCATGCCGGGCGTTCCGTCAGTGATCGCGGTCGTAATGATGGCCATGGCAACACTCACCCTAGCAACAACAAGGACCACAAGAAGGAGGACAATAAAATCTATATCACCAGGCCCCGTTCAGGCAAGGATAAGAAAGGCCCTGTCTCACGGCATCCCCGAGAGGTCTTCCCTGGGGTCTTTCTCTATCAAAATGGAAAGACCACCAAGCTGGTCAACCTGAGCTCCAAGCACAAGGCGAGTAAAGGAGTTCTAGGTGCTTCTCAGCTCCTAGCAAGGTCTTCTCTCAGAGAAAACAGGGTTTTCCCTTCAAGCTCAAACTCCAGCAGACAGGGTGCAGTTCACCAGGCCTCCAGCAGGGCGGCACTCCTGAGCCACACCGAGAAGAGCAAATGGTCAGCACCAAATGATCCCCGTCTTCCCACTAGGGGGAGCACTACTGCCAGACCGCCTCCTGCTCCTACCCCTCCCTCTTTTAACTCCTCTGAGAACGCTCTGCCCACTGAGCCTCCACGGATCACCTCCTACCTCCGCACCTCCGAGATCACAGAGTCCCAGCCTCAGCCAGTGGAGGCAGAGCCTGAACCAGAGGAGGAGGAGGGCGGCCTATCAGAATACAGCTATGAGGAGGTGGAGCCTCGCCCTGGCTGGGCAGAAGAGGCCATCAACTGGCAGAGGACATTTTCTGTCAACAGTATGGACTTCGAATCACTACGCTCTGACTGGAATGATTTGAGGTGTAACGTTTCAGGCAACCTGCAGCTGCCCGAGAGTGAGGTGGTGGACGTGTTAGCTCAGTACATGGAAAAACTCAACGAGCGCAATGGAGGGTAAGAAGAGCAACATTGATTTTGTAAATAAACTTTTGTAAATTTCTTTAATTTTTTCAAGAGCTAGCAGTAATTTGTTTATTAACACAGACACTGAGGGATTTTTCATAAAGAAACACAAAAGTAGTTTCACATGCTACATAAAAATTGTACAAGTTTAAAATTTACTTTTCACATATAGAAACTGAGCAGCAAAATTGTGGTGGTGATGTCATAACCATGAACACATTTACATTCAGTTTTTTGCAGCTTAGCCCCCCTTTCACAGTGAAGTTATAAGGAGTGTTTCAGCCTGAGGCTTAACAAGGCACAAAACCCAGAAGCCAATCAGAACAGAGGTCATTTATATAAATTTTAATAGCCTTAAAAACACAGTAACAAAACAGCCCATGTAGTTAGGAGTGTTAAAGGAAGACTGTAAAAAAGGTTTATAAAATCTGTTCAGTGTTCTGTGGTAAGCTTTTTGCCCAGGAGCACTGGTGCTCCTGATTTGAAATAGACAGGAGCACACAGAAAAATCTGTGAGCTCAAACTTAATAAGATCTTATTTATTCCCTGTTTTCTTTGTTCCTCCTCTCAGTCAGAGAGACATGGTCCAAGCCGTTAGGGATTCCGTGAACAACATTAGGGACTATCATTTTCAGTTATTCAGTATTTATTATGTGCTTGCAGTTTCTTTCACTTCATCTGTGTCCCTGCCTTTTATCTAATCAACACACAGTGTGTCTTTGTACCAGCAGTTCTTATAAATTTGACCTAAAAGCCTGTTTACTGGGCAGCCATGTCTTACACTAACATCTTGATAGTTTCACATTTATTGAAGTGTTTTATAATATAATATGTTTTTGTGTGTTAATTAAATAGTAGACTAAGATTTTTTGAAAAGCAAAAGATAGATAATGTTGATAACTAAGTTTAGAATTTAAAACTGTAATGTGACAGAATTAGGCAGGATTAAAAACACTGATGAGGCTTTACTAGTTTGTGGGAGTTATGAAATCATTGTCACACAAAAGTTCAAGGTCAAATCCAAAACAATACAAAACCAGAAGATCACAGTCATAACCAAGGATCAGGCAAAAAGACAGAATTGTAATAAACAGACCAAAAGTCAAAAAACAGGAAAACAGACCACATGATTCACAGAACAGGTGAAAATACTCAGTAATCAGGCATAGCTGATCTTGGAAATGTTGTGTGTCGAGACAGGGTCATGTGATCATCCGAGGGGTTCTGGGAATTGGAGTCCTTGCTGAAGGAATGCATGACAAAAAAGTCAATACTACTGAGTGGAGAGGTGTTTGTGAACTGAAAGAGTCTATTCTTATTCTTATTATCTGAGTCAGTTGACCTCAGCAAAGGATAAAATGTCAATCTATTAGCAGTCCTTAACCAGCTATGCAAGTTTGTTGGCAGTTTAGTTAGGCTTCTGGTGACATGTGCGATGATATAAGTAGGCTTATAAACTAAAGAAACAATATTTGGATTTGATTTTATTGCTGAAATATATCTTTAAAAAACTGGGGGAACAGAATACTAGAAGGTTGTAAATAATTACAAACAGGTTAAGTGGGGTTATCTACACAGAGTTTCCCAGGTTATAAGCTAGAGTAAGTTAGATAAGTTTTTTAAGTTAGATTACATCGCTTAAAAACAATGCAACATTTCGGAAAAATAAAAATAAAGCAACTTTGGTTAAACTAGATGTCAGTTAACATGTTTTGGTTGTTGTGAATTGACTCCTTTGTAAAGTATTTTTGAAACTTTAAAAAATCACTGCCTGCTTCCAGTCCTTTGGCTTGTAGCGTATGTGGAATGATGCTGCTGTGACAGATATGTATGTGTGTGTATGGAGTGTGAAGTAGTGATGGGAGCCCAGCTGTGTTTACTCAGATGACACAACTGACACAAATGATGCCAGTGCCACCTCTGCCATTTAGTCACGCACTCATGTTCTCATTGTGTCACTGCAGTATCTACACTCTGCTGCGGATCATAAACGTGGAGAAGAGGCGTGACTCAGCGCGTGGGAACCGTTACCTGATTGAGCTGGAGCTGATGGAGCGTGGGCGGAGTGTGGTGCGACTGTCTGAGTATGTCTACCTCTTACTGCACCGTGGCCGGCTGGAAGACAGCCTGGAGACCAGCGACGGAGTGACCGCTTCTCCTCCTTCAGCACCCCAAACACCCTCTGCTCCATCCTCCACTCAGCCCCGTGCCACTCCACAGTGGGGCACTGTCTATGCCAAGCCTCTGCTCTGCCAGCCCGTCATGCTGCAGTGGAAACATGATGTCATGGTGCACTTCGTGGTGCCTGGTGAGTGCGGGGGGGGGGTGGGTTGGGGGGTGTACAAATATATTTTTTGGGGGTTTCTAGAACATCATCTGGTTACACTCACAACCCATTGCATTTCTCAGTGTGAAGTGGCTATTGCACTACAGAAGCACTCTGTTTGAGAGACAGGGTGGGAGTCTCCATGAGAATCCGTGTAATCAAGTATAAGTTCAGGACGACATGACATTCAGTGCTAGAATTTTAGTATATTGGATGTGATTAGAGTCTTACATAATCAGATTTCTCGCTGTAACAGTGCTGTCCTACAGTTTCATGAACATGAGGGAGCTGATATGAAATTTCGCTGTTATGCTTCATATTTTCCCCTCCTGTAATTCCTTCCTATTCCGATAGATGTGTAAACGTGTACACATCCCAGTATGTCATTATCATTTTGCTGTACATTTTATTCACATTACTAATCTACAGATTAATTCCATATTTACCAATGACATATTGCATATTAACTACATAGTTATATCTGTAATAATTACCTTGTAATTAATGTTATGAGTTACATTTACATTAAGTTTACTTTAGCATCAACCTGTTACAGTCTTCTATTTGTTTCAGTGTCAAAAAATTACAGACCACTCGGCAAACACTAAAGATTCACCAAAAGGTTGGCCACAAACATTTCAGCCAAAAAGGATCAAAAGTGGCAAAGGTTTTAAGCCAAAGGTGAAAAAAGGCCAAAATTGTGGCTGAAATAAAGCAAAATATTAATAGGATTACAATGTGTCTCAAAATCTTACATTTAGCAAATTATCTGAATGATTATGAAAACAAGAAATAGGTATTAAAACACTGTTTTTGTTTTCTTCAATCTCCTGTGCTGGTCAGACATGTCCGAATAGTTTAAGCAGCAGCAGTCAAACAGTGCAAAGGTTCACAGTTCACTGTTTTTATGAGAGACTTTGAACAAGAGATTTGTAGAGACTATAAAGATCATAAAGAGGGCTAGAACTTGCCCATTACAGGTTTGATACCATTTGAAACATGATATCTTGCACGATATGCAGAATGCAGTAAAACACCAGAAGCAGAAAGGAAAGTTCACCACCTGTAGGATTGGATTTTGTGGCACATACTTTAGCCTACATACTACATACTGTAATCATTTTAGTATTTTTATAGTAGTTTTTATGTCTAGTATATTAACTTAAAAGCATAAATACAAAACTTCCCATTTTCAGTTTAAGTTCTCAGCCAGGTGTGTGTTGAATTTCGATTTCAGTTTCAGGCAGGAATTTTCATTTCAGTGCATCACTAATAAAAACATAAAAGAAAGTTTTTCTTACTGTGAAACAAGACACACACAACAATAACTTTTCATCAAAGTCAAATCATAATAATATATTTCCTTTTCTACTAAGAAACACAAATATGGCATGGAATAAAAGTGTACAATCTGCACTTTGAACAGAATTTCTCTGCTTTTTCAATGAGCTATGAGTGAGAAATTACTAAATAAAATGTGAGAAAAATCAAGGTATTAATGCCATGCTGTTCCTCAGTTTGGCATGACTCTACACTTGATGCTTTGCATCTTTCTTTATTAGTGTGTAAAAAACATGGTACTAAAAACATAGTCAGCTTGTGTGTATGATATTGTGGTGATGGGGTCTCCCCCGTCTCTGCAGTGAAGAACCAGGCTCGCTGGGTTCAGCAGTTCATCAGTGATATGGAGCTCCTGCACCGTGAGACCAAAGACGACAACTTCAACATCATCATCGTGGACTTCCAGAGCGACGACATGGACATAGAGCAAGCTCTGAGAGAGAGCTCTGTACCCAGGTATCCTCACACAGAAACACAAACATACCTGCTTAAGCATGAACCACACACTGACCTCCTCTTGTAAACATGCTCTGACTGAGCACTTGTGCTATATAGAATTTTTCCATTGTCTTTGCTGTGGCCTCTATGCAGGTATGACTATCTCAGGAGGGAGGGCAACTTTGAACGTTCCGCTGGTCTGCAAATTGGAGTGGACACTATTGAGGTAAAGGAACACTAAAGGACACTTCTGAGGAGGTTTTACATATTCTCGCTGTCCAAAGGAAAACAAGTATCTCCAAACTGGTAACTTTACAGGAGAGGGCAAAAAAAGTTCCTAATTTGAAATGTAATTTAATGTAAAGAGGTTTTCAAGTGATTTTGGAGCATTTCTATCGGTCCATTCACCCAGTCTGACCAAAAACACTCCTTCTTACTTCATTGTGAGGTTAAACTGCTGTAGGCTGAATGGGCAGTTTTCACGACATTAAAATCAATCAATTAAAATGGTCTGTTTATGCAGCTTAGTTTCCCATAAAGACTGGAGAGTTAATGGTACATTTTGAAATTTCAATATTGTTTATATAATACATTAAACTCTTTAATTTGAAAATAAAGCCAGGAAAATTAGATTTTCCTTAAATAGGCCCTTTAAATAGCGCTTGAGAATATAAAGGAGACAGAAGTGAGGGAGGTATAAAACCTCAGTGTGATGAGAAATTACTGTCTAATTAAACCACTGATTTGCACCTGATTATGGTTGCCCTGCATTGTGTCTCGCAGGACAGTCACAGTATCGTGTTCCTGTGTGACCTGCACATTCACTTTCCCCTGAACATCCTGGAGAGCATCAGGAAGCACTGTGTGGAGGGCAGACTGGCCTTCGCTCCCATCGTCATGAGACTGGGCTGTGGGAGCTCCCCGCAAGAGCCAGATGGTAACATGCACACAGACACAGTTTAACACAGCAGCATGCAGACCAATTAAGCCACACTGCTTGATAAGATCTGCTTTTGAAAGTGAGAAAATTTGTTTGACATTAATTCACAGCACTTGCATACACAAACGCACATAAAATAGATCTTCACCACAAAGACTAAGATGTTTATGAATAGGTTAAAATAAATTGGTTAACAAAATGGGCCTAAATGATAGAAAGAACAAGGCTGATTTTCTCCCAGTCTCCTCAAGATATTGATGACTGCACTCGCTTGCATTAGAAGTATAGGTAATGAGGGGCCTGAGAGGGGCTAGGCCTTCCTACTTGAAAGCCAGACCTTTCACAGATGTGGCAATGAATGTCACCGTCCATCACACAGTAGGTACGGAAAGATGGCAATATGTAAACACAGCATTAGCCTGCGCCAATGTTTTTGCTAGATAGTGAGTGTTGCGCTAGTTCCTATAGGCTACTTAACTAGTTAATAAGCAGCAGAAGTATAAAATGGAAGTGGAAAAAATGGAGATACATTTTTTTTTAGAACAACAGTATAATTTACATGAATGTCGCAACCACTAATTTTAATAGATGCTACATGTGCACAGCAGGATTAGATATGTATTAATTTACACCTTATAACATGAATATACAGTATAAAAACTCAAAGCCATTGTTCACAGTAACAAGTCTTTCCTTTTTTTAGAAATGAGAATGCATTGTTTTTTTTTTCTTTTAGTTCCTGCATCCTGGGATCATTTAAACACATTCAATTAGCTGGATTGAACTTGTGCTTTGCATGTGCGTGTATAGACTAAGGGTTTTATGAACACGGCTCTGTTGGAAATGAGTCTTTGGCCTCAGAGGGACTTGCCCTGTTGAAATGAATGGATGTAGGTAATAGCTGAGTAATTCAGCATGAAGCTCCAGCACACTCTACATGACTTGATGTCAAGGCTCAGCTATAATAGGACCACACGCACACACACACACACACACACACACACACAGAAATGTGGAGCAGCCACTCAAACCCCGTCGTGCCTTTAAATCAGCTCAATGCACTTTATCTTAATTCATGATGGCGCTCACGTCGGTTGCCCCGACACACAGATAAACAAATGCACATATGCGAAACACAGTGACTGATGTTAAATCTTGGATGTTTGCAATGCTCTTTGTGTTCTTTGTCATTATTAGCCTTATCATGGGCTAGAGGACGCTGTTCAATTAGTTGCTTATGTGCTTCTATCCAGGCTACTGGGAGGTGAACGGCTTTGGCCTCTTTGGAATCTTTAAGTCTGACTTTGATAAAATCGGTGGCATGAACACAGAGGAGTTTAAAGACCGGTGGGGAGGAGAGGACTGGGAGCTGCTGGACAGGTATGTTTTGGAGAAATGGAAAGATTGTAGTGAATGTGGAAAAATGGGGTCAAATAATTGCAGTAATACAGACAGAAACTGCCCTACATTTTGATAGAGAAGGCTTCCTATGTAGGCAGCACGATTTGTGGTATCATGTCACAAGAGACAACTATAAAATTATTATTTAAACTCTCTATTTGTTAATGGGTAATTGTCTTGTAAATAACACAGTCACTGTTGTTCTATATATTCTTCTGTTTCTTTCTTTTATGTAGGTTTATTGGGAAATGCTTTGGCAATAATGTAACTTGTAACATTTATGTTAATTAAGTACTGCTGGACTGACAATCTTTGCCAAGGTTTACATATCGTTTCTGTCATATTAAATTCTGATACCTCGGTGGAGTTTACACTATTTGACAACACCAGTCGCCCTTTACAAAAATGCTCCAAAATGAATTGGAATAATATCTCGTTCCATTAAGGTTTATTAAAATTAAAATTCCTTCTCCTATAAAATTACCATTCAGGGATATTAAGTTTTCTCACAGCCACAACAGTATGTAAACTGTCAAATGCTTTTAGCCAGTGCAAAGCTGTTTCTGCGTGCTTGCTTCCTGGCTTTAAGCCTAATAGATACAAGGCCTCTCTCACTCTCCATTCTGTCCCTCTCAGAATAGATTTATTGGCATTACTGCAAGTACAGTACTGCCAAAGCACTGTAACAGTGCCTTGCGACCCTCTCACTCTCTCTCACTCTCTCTCACTCTCTTCTCTCGCAATGTGTCTTCTCATCTCTCTATCTTGATCTCTCTTTGTCTCTTTCTCTCATCTCTCTCTTTTTGTCTCTTTGTCATTCTTTCATCTCTCTCTGTCTCAATCTTTCTCTGTATCAATCTTGATAACTCTTTCTTGTGCTCACTCTCCTCCTCTCATCTCTATCTTGATCATTTTTTCACTGATCTCTCTTACTATCTCAACCTTTCTTTCTCTCTGACTCTGTCTCTGTCATTCTTTAATCTCTTTTTCTTTTTCTCTCTCTATCACTATCTCAATCTTTCTGTCTCTGTCTCTCTGCCATTCTTTCTTTATCTCAATGGTCTTTCTCTCTCTCTTTTCCTCTTCCTATCCTCTCTCTCTCTCTGCTCTCTCTCTTTCTTTCTCTCCTCTCTCTTTATACCATCTTGCTATCTGTCATTTATCATCTCTCTCTCTCTATCTTTCTCTATCTTGATCTCTCTCCCTGTCTCTCTCTCTCTCTGTCTCCCTCACTCCTCCTCTTATCCTTCTCTCTATCTTTCTCTTTCTCTCATTTCTCTCCTCTCTCACTGTCTATTTCAATCTTTCTTTCTATGTTTCTCTTTATGTCTGTTTCTGTCATTCTTTCATCTCCCTTTTTATCTCAATCTTTCTCTATCTCAATCTTGACCTCTCTCTTCCTCTTCTCTCTATATCTCGGCCTTTCTCTTTTTGCTTTCCTCTCTTTCTCCCTGTCATCTTTCTCTCCTCTTTCCCTCTTCCTCTAATCTTTCTCCTTCTCTCTATCTCAATGTTTCTCTTTCTGTCATTCGTTCATCTCTCTCTTGGTCTGAAATCTTCTCTCTTTTCCTCTCATCTCTCTCCTTATCTCAATCTTTCTCTTTCTCGTTCACTTTCTTTCGTCTCTTTCCTCCCTCTCTCTTCCTCTTATCTCTCTCTTGATCTTTCTCTTTCTCTGTCTCTCATCCCCCTCTTCTCTCCCTCTCTCTTCAGGGTGTTGCAGAACGGTCTGGAGGTGGAGAGGCTGAGATTGCGGAACTTCTTCCACTACTACCACTCCAAACGGGGGATGTGGAACTCACAGACAAAAAAGAGCCCAAAGGGCTAGAGCTCAGCCTACAAGGAGAAAGAGAGAGACTTCAGATGGACTTGTGGGCTCCCTTCATCAGCCTCCTGCCCCTGTGTCTCTCAAGACTCTTATGAACCATGCAGGAGGGACACAGTGCTGGCCTGGCTAGCTTTGTGCCCACGCGTCAAGCCAACAACACTCACAGGAGTAAAAGAAACTCTTTTCCCATGTAGTGAGTGTGTGTGTGTGTCTGTGTGTGTGTGTGTGTGTGTGTGATAGAGAGAGAGAGAGAGAGAGAGAGAGAGAGAGAGAGATTCTCTGTTTGTTAGGAGAGGATTTCTTTTTTATACTTGAGATAACCAAGCCTGGAGATTTATACTGAAACGGGCTGCAGTGACAGTTCAGTCTGTCTGTGTTAGTGTCAGGGCGCTGGCACAGAGAAACAAGTAATGTGTTCAGTTTACTTAGTTCAGATGTTTACATCATTTACACATGAATGAAATATAACACAGTGTTGTCCTTCAGTTCACACACATTTGGCAATAGTTGTGTGGCTGCAGTGTATCTTATTCATGTGGAAATGAGGTTCTCATTTACAGAAGTAAATTCAGTGCATCACTTTTTTTTAGTGCAGAGCTTAAAGATGTCAAATGAAAATTACAAAAGGGATATTATAATGAGTTGCTTAATGTGTGCCTCATAATGATGTTAATATGAAGGTAACTGTTTAGAAGCTTAGCTGTTTGGGTATGTCAGTATGTAGGTACGTCCTCCGTGGGTGTAAGAGGTTTTTTTTGTAATATTATTACAGCACTGATTCCTGTTGAAGTGCAAGCAGGTAACTGTATGTATTCCTTGATTCGTATAATCTGTCCTGTTTCTTGCCATCTCCAGCAGAGGGCGACTAAAGCTGATGAAAATGCACTAGTGTTGGTGGCAACCTGCTTTTTCTCCCCTGTATACACTGAACAGCCTGCTGGTTTTTCATTAGAGATCCTGCTGATAGTCAAACTGCTGACCCTCATGCTCCTGGACACAGTTGGAGATGGGAACTGCTGAGAAACAGATGGAGCTTTTCTCTTCTGTTTGTCTGTCTATATATTTGTTTTGTTGTACGTACTTCAGGCTACTTATTAGGGGTGGGCGATATGTCAACATAATATAATTATCATGGTAAATCATGTCACTGTAAGAATTTGTGGGCTTTGACAACAATAACCCACTGCATGTTTCACTGAAAATAGGTTCAGGAGAGGCTCCAAAGTGGTATAGCTGTCTGAAGTTTTGCTCTATTATGGGAAGATCGTGAGTTTGAATCTCAAAAATGTCGAGAGCCCAAAATATAACCGACTGTGCTTAATTGGGTTGTGTTTGAATGGTTGTTCTGCGCAGTATATTGTGTCCAGAAATATCCAGATATCCCTTCTAATTGGTGATTTTAGCTACTTTAAGGTGCACTCATTGCTGACCCAATTGGGCACACATGGCTTGTACCATTTCCATAGAAAAGCATTGCCAATAAATTGGGATGCTCTGGAGCAGCCACAAATGACCCTAAGGTCACCATGCTCAATGGCAAGCATCAGCTAGAAGGGTAAACAGTGCCCCCAGTATTGGGCTGTAGAGCAGTGGGACTGCATTCTCTATAGCCCCTGTATCAAACACAAGGCCTGCAGGCTGTGACACAGTCCTATTTGGCCTACAAAATTATTTCAATCTTCTATTCTTATTAGCCCGTTTCACCCTGAGCTGCACTACAGTCCCCAGCATGCACTGCAACATAGTGTGTGCTCTGACCCCCTTCCCCCAACAACAATCTATGGGCCAGTGGTTACACGAAAAGAAAAGATGTCTCATGTCTAGTTTAAGCAAATAGACAGTTTTAAAAAACTACCTAAAACAATTTTTTTTTATTTAGATTTATTTTTTAATAAGTATTCAATGCCTATTTTGCTATTTCAGTTTAGGCATATTTTGAATAAACAGTGGCAGATGTTTAGTAAAAATAAAATAAAAACACAGCTGGCCCACAGGTTTGTTGAAATTTTTTAATACAGCCTTTTTAGTGGTTAAGATTGACACCCCTGATCTATTAGTGATGGAGCTCCATCCAATACATTTAGGGTGAGTTGGAATGACATTTGTAATCTAGAACTAATCATTCAACATCTGTACCTGGTGTTCTTGGCTAAATGCAGTCAGATCCTAACAGCAACGTTCCAACATCTAGTGTAAAGCCTTCCCAGAAGAGTAGAAGTTATTACTGCAGCAAAGGGGGGACAAACTCCATATAAATACCCTGGATTTCAGAAAAAGAAGTTGGGTTACCTATATGTCCACAAACTTTTAGACATGCTGTGTATAAGAAACACTGGAAAAAATTAATGCAGTTTCTGACAGCATTTTTTTAAATGTGGCAACATTAGTACATTTAGTCTAATTATCAAACTAATGAACAAAAAAATGAAATACTGTATGGATTGTCTGTCATGAAAAGTGATTATTATATTTGTGCCATATTGCCCACTTCTACTATTTATTAAGAGCAGATGGGGAACTGAGTCTAGAGATCTGGTTCTCAGATGCTTCCAGATGGTTCTAGACTGATTACAAACTTTACTCAAACTGCGCTTTGATCTAGGAGTCATACTGTATTCATCTGACCCATTGGAGTGCTGATCTAGTATCCCGTTTTGTCTTGACATTCTAATATATATTGAGGGGGCTGATATCAGGCCAGTCCACTTTATAGGGTCTGTTGTGTGCCAAGCGCTGGGCTTAATCTTGCTCTGAGAGACTGTTTGAGACTCTCTTCTTTGTGCAGTATCCACTTATAGAGACTTTTGCAGTGGGACCACGCTGCTGTCCCCTGTGTGTGCCTTTCTGTTAAGGTGTTTTGATGGGCTGCCTATGGCAAGCCGGGTGTTACAATTTGTCAAGTAATTTACAATGGGAGTCTGCAGAAAGCCTCATATCTGTCATACAGTCAAAGCTGAAGGTTTTATCGCAGGAATGGGTGTCTGAGATTCACAAGAAAATAGAGGCATCACTGGATTATCTGGCAGCTGCATCCAAAGAGGACCCTGATGCAGTAACTGCAGAGTTTCATGGCCTTTATTTTCAAAGCGAGCAGTATTTACACTGACTGGAATGGCTCAGGTGCTATTGATGTATGGAACTGATCAGCATTGTGCAGTTCCATAGACTACAACTTTTAATGGAAACAAAAGCTAAAACTCTGTTTACACACTGCTGAATTCAACATGTACGGTGGTTTTGACCTCCAGTAAGTAATGCTACATATGTCCACAACTGTCCAACCCATTTTTGAGGTTATGAAATTCATCCAGATCTCTTTGGCCCTTCCCTTTTTTCCGAGTCCACCACACCTGCAGACTCCGTCAGTTTCAGAAACCAGAGGAGGAGAGCAAATGAGTATAAGACTTTAAACAGGGATCTACATTCCAAAGTAATTTCTGTGAAATTGTTGTGTAGAGAAATTTAAGAATGTATTGTATTATTTTTTATTTTCAGCCTTTTTGGTTATTTTTGGAAAAATAAAGTTTTATGCTGAACTATGCTGAAATGCTGTAGATGTTCCTGTATTATTAAATGGTTTTATATATATATATATATATATATATATATATATATATATATATATATATATATATATATATATAATTCCTATATTATTAAACTTGTTCTTACATAATTTCACCAATTTTTGAAATTTCCTGTAAAATTACATTATTAAGTTGATATAAACAAAATTGATTGTTATGAGGCCATTCTGGCAAAACTCTGCCAATCCAGAGGTGTTAACAGTGGTGGTAATAGGGCTGTCTGGAGCATCTGGAGCGTTTAGCTCCATTAAAAGCTGCATTACAAGTTTTTACACAAAACAGTTATGAATATGCTGAATATGCTATGATAGTACTGAGGTTGGCTTCTGGCCTGAAGCATTTACCCCACCATCCAAAAAATTGTTTTGTTGTTTTTTGTTTTTTTTGTTTTTTTTTAGAAAAATTGAATTCTGTGTTTGGTAATTTCTCTGAAATGCACCATTTCACATCAAATCTCACTGGATAGGACTAAATTAGAATTCCTCTTGAAGTGTAATTCAGAATCCTACAGTTCTGTTGTTCTCCATTAGAGGGCACTCCACTCAAACATTTCCCATACAGTCTTGGCGTTCTGGCCAAAAGTCCATCAGAAAGTTCCATAAGTAGCTAATATCTCCCATCTCTACAGGAAAAAACGAAGACTTTATTAAGTCCAGTTCTATGATTCGATCTTTGTAGCTCGATGTGCTCCATTAGATTAGGATTAAAGTTACTGTACAGTTTGTATAATGATTCATAAACATAAGCAAGACTAAGTGTGGTTTAATCAGAGCAATTAATCTCTGTTCCCTCAGAGGACTTTCTGGAGATGAAAAACAACCACAACCTTTCTACTCAAGTAGTCAGGATTAGTTCAGACTTCAGATTCAGCCACAGTACATTAGTCACAGATCATTTGACAATCCTGGTTTGTGCTGGTTGCTTCTGTAAACATATTACTCTGCAGGTGGAGGAGGCAGTCAAGACCCACACAGGTAAAAAAAAAAAAAATTGACTTTAAGAACAAAAATAGAACTAAAAATAGTCAAAAGCCTCTTTCAAATCTGTCCTTTCTCAGTGCCTGTTTCTACATGAATGAGGGACAATGGTGGATACAAATAAATAAATAACAATAAAAAATTAATTAAAAACTAGTAAGAAGTTGAGTACAGGGTATATTTGTCCAGAAAACAGTTGTAAAAATAAATACAAATTTAAAGATACAAAAAAGTAATATCAAGACTGTAAGTAAACATGAGTTTTGAAAAAGTAATTTTACTACTGATAATTATTTTGAAGAAAATAATCTGTCCTATGAAATGTTTTTGGTGGAAACTTCCAATCCAAATTTTATGACAAACTTATAACCTCCGCTAAGGGGTTCTTTAATAAAGACAGTGGTTCTATATAGAGTCATGAACAGTCAAAGCACCAAGTGCATGCTTAAAGGGTTCTTTGAATGGTGAAATGGTTCTTTAGATTGATGGAGAATGTGTTATATATGGTTTTGAAATGGTTCTACATAGCACAAAAAAGGGTTCTGCTATTTTTACAAGCTTGTCATCATAACAATAGCAGAAACCCTTTTGGTGCTATATATAGAACCATTTCCAAAAAGGTTCTAAATAGAACCATATACAACACATTCTCCATCAATCTGAAGAACCATTTTACCATGCAAAGAACCCTTTAAGGATGAAAAGGTTCTGTATAGAACTCAGGGTTCTCTTCATGAGTTCTATATAGAATATGAGCTATTTAATTCCGGTGTTGACCACATTTGTATGATTTCAGTAAACAGTCATGACGAGTTTCTGGGCCTCTATTTCTGCATGCTGAGTGAACACGCCCCTCTCAGCCACAGACAATGTGAGCTTTGATGGCTATACGGCCAAATAAAGGTGTTGCCTTGAACTGGCAGATAGTGCTGATTGCTGTAAATGACAACACCCCTGCATTCCTCACACACGTCCATGAGCAGATTCTCCCTCCTGAGCCGAGGCTCCAGACATTGAGTAAGTGTGTGCTGAGCTGAGTTTGAGTCAGAACCAAGTGTGACTGTGATCTCATCCTGCACAGCGCTGTTCCTTTTCCTTCTCCTCCTTGGGGGGGATTCACAGGGGCCGCAGGTCGCTGCTGTCTCACTCTGCTGGTATCTAATGAACTTTACTAAAACACATTAAGTAATGGTTGGACTGTGCTTTAGCCAGACCCACCCATATTCTCTCTCTCTCTCTTTCTCTTTCTCTCTCTCTCTCTCTCTCTCTCTCTCTCTCTCTCCCTCTCTCTCTCTCTTACTGTGAAGTAAAACAACAAAGCTGGTTAGGACATGTCCTCTCAGCTGTCACACTCTGCTCTGAGCTGGATCATCCACTCTGTAACAGACTCCTCTGTGACCAAGTTTTTTTTAAACAGTTTGTAAAAGTATCCAGACACTAGCATTGAAAGGTTTGGAATCAATGTCATATTGATAATAGCTGTGAGTTTATTCAATAATAACTTACATAATGTAGATTGAAATAATACAAGCTTGACACCAGTAGGTATTTTAAGATGTTTTACTTAATATTTCAAGTTTTTATTAAAGGATACATAAATACTGTACTTATTAATGTGTAATAATTTCTTAATTAGGCATATGCTAAGAATTTGTATATATATGTATGTATTTTTTCCGTTTACACCAAACAAACGTTATAAAACCGCTGTTTATATAGGACCAAATACCAAAAAAGTCTTTGGATAATGAAGTGGCTCTAAACCGTAGTGTTTGTTCACCCCTGTAGTGAAACAACTGGAGTGTATTCAAATGAATGTAATCAGTGTTAATGACTGCAATCGCTCTGATTGTAGACACACTGAGTTTCTCCTGATCTGATTAGAACCACTAACTTTTGGTGAAATCCACTCAAGGCTGATTGGCTCCCCAGTGACGTAGTCCCCGCCCCCCCGTCTCTCTCTCTCTCTCTCTCTCTCTCTCTCTCGTTCACTTCAGTTCAGAGCAGAGTTTCTCTAGAAGGGAGGTGTGCCGAGTGTGATAAGCGATACTGTCCGCTTCTGGACTTTCCTTCAGCTTATACTGGGATTTCTGGACTGAACCTAAACCCGTTGATGGAGAACCGAACTGACACGAACCTCGTTTCAACCGAGTTTGATCAACTTTCAAGCGACAGTGGCTGAAAGCAGCGCAACAGCGTGAAAACCGGCCACTCTGTCACCTCGGAACGAACTTCACGACGAAGGTGAGCCGCAGTTCACAAGCTTGAGATGGAAACTAGTCAGACAGCTTCTGTTAGCTAGAACAGCTAAACGTTTACCTCAGAAAAGTGACTGTTTCATGTCGCTGAGTGCGATTTAAGGCGACTTCAAAGCATTTCGCGAAATGTCAGGCGAGAGGGGTAACCAGTAAAACCAGCTTGGCCGAAGAGTTTCGCCCAGAGTTTTGCCTCAGCGTTTCGGCGGCCAGAAGAAGTACCAGAGCAAACAGCGATGGCGGGAGGGAGCAGCTCCCACATGAAAACTTTGGAGGATTTGACTCTAGACTCGGGCTACGGCGCCGGAGACTCGTGCAAGTCCCTCAGCCTCTCCTCCTCCTCCAAGTCCACCTCGCAGGCGTTCGTGAACGCCCCTCACCGGGGCAACTGGTGGTACTACTCGGGCTCCATGAACAGCCGAAATAACAGCTGGGACACGGTCAACACCGTCCTCCCCGAGGACCCCGAGGACATTTTCTCCAAGTGCCCGCGCCTGCCCGAGCTGGAGGAGTTCCCGTGGACCGAAGAGGACGTGGGGAACATCCTGCGCCGCGTCGCGGGCGAGGGCGCTTCATTCTCGTCCGAGGCCGTCCGGAGGCTCTCGGTGCTCATGCGCCGGGCCCTGGTGCGCATCGCCCGCGAGGCTCAGAGGCTCAGCGTGGCGCACTGCCGCTGCACGCGCTTCGAGGTGCAGAGCGCCGTCCGCCTCGTGCTCAGCTGGCCGCTCGCGGACCGCTGCGTGTCGGCCGCCGTGCGCGCCGTGTCCACGCACAGCATGAGCGCCGGAGAGCCGCTGCGCAGGGGCAAGTCGCGCCGCTGCGGCCTCGCACTGCACGTGGGACGCTTCTTTCGTTGGATGGTGGACACGCGTGTGTCCGTGCGCGTGCACGAACACGCGGCCATCTGCCTAAGCGCGTGCGTGGAGGCGCTCGTGGAGGAGGTGGGCGCGCGCGCGCTGGCGGCGGCTACGGGGGACGGAGCGCCCATCACGGCCGAAGCCCTAGAGGGGGTCGTGAACAACGATGCAGAGCTGTGGGGGGTCCTGCAGCCCTACGAGCATCTCATCTGCGGGAAGAACGCCAACGGTAAGTTTGGTTTGGTTTGAGTTTCTCAGTTGGGGAGCTCCAGCCAGAGATGCAGAAACGCCCACCCAGTTTAGGGCTGCACGATATGGACAAAATATCGTGCATTGTGGTTATTGCCATAATTCGTGACCGCGATATGACTTGCAGTAAAGGAGGTTAGGTCACATGGGACAGAGTGTTAGGTCACATGGGAAATTTTGTTAGGTTTTGCAGGATGCTGTGTTAGGTCACATGGTTCAGTATGATAGGTTATAGCCTATAGGACAGCTTTTTAGGTCATAGATAGATAGATCACTTTATTAATCACAGAGGCAAAGTCGTCTATTACAGCAGCACAAAGTTCAGTAAAGAGCAAAAGTGTTGCCTTGCGCTATTATGTAGATGCATAAATAGAAGAAGTAAAGATATGAAATAAAATATACTAAAACAACCTTAAAATATAATGGGACACACATCATAGACCCTAAATGAGAAAGCCATTGTTTTGCCCAGTTTCTCAGTAAAATTACTAGCAATGCACCAATTTGGGAATTGTGGGCAGATGCTGGTATACAGTGTTTGTCGTGTACGTATTTCCCGATGCTGATACAGATGCTGATACATAAACCTATATAAAGTATAGCAGTCAGGACTACGAAGAAATGGATTTCTGTTTTAATATCAATTATGAGTTTGAAATAGTCATCAAATCAAACATATATATATAGCAAATATAAACCAATAACGATATCACAAAAATGACTTTTTTATGTAATGATTCTCTATACAGAATTCCCTTTTGCTTATTCAGGAAGAATACTGTAGCTTTTAGGCTGAAGAATATCTTAGACCTTCTGATAGCCCATATTACCTTAAAATTCACTTTGTATTAAAAGCACATTAATAAACCCCAGATGTAGCAAATATTAAAGGTTGGTCTGCAGTACTCTCGCCAGAATTATTCATATTGGTTGAATACTTTGATTTATAAAACATCCACAGTATCTAGGATCACTCTGCAATACTTAATGCACACCTAAAATGCAACAGTTATAGAGGCTAATTTGCATTTAACAGTTTTGTGATAATGATTGACAAACAGCATGTTGTGCAGCTCCACCACCGTCACACTGTTTATAAACACACACATGGACATGAGTGTTTTTGCTGTGTTTGTCAGTTGGGTTTGCAGAAATTATACAGCATGTTTTACTCACTGTGACCAACTCTGAGCGCTGGCTTGAGATCATGGAAATGTTCTTCAGAGGATCTGTTGCAGTTCAGGTAGCAGTCTGTTCAGTTCACTGATGACAGACCTCTCTCCATGTACACTGTGCAGACTTGCTCAGTTCCAGCTGTAAGTCCATTTTTCCTCTACGCACATCCCTCTCATTGACCGTGTGCCAGTGTGCGCTGTAATTAACATGTGTCTGTGGCTTACCAGCATCAGTACAGGCTTTCAGCATGGACTTTCACAGGCATACAATAGTGCTTTGTTTCCATTTTGAGCTGCACAAGCTTAGTTTTGTGCCCAGAGAAAGAAAACAAACAATACCAAGCTCTTGGTGCTGGTGGTGTATGCAAGTGTGCAGAGGAGTTTTAGACAGTTCTAGGCACAAATTACAGGCGACCACTGGGCCTACCTCAGAGGTACTTTTTAGAGGTCTGCCTAAGGATGTTTTCTACAGTAACAAATTGAGATGGCATAGAATTGCCAAAGCTAAACTCCAAAACTTGAATTCTGTCTGAAAGGATCTAAGGGATTTGTATTAGTATTTGTGCAGCAATCCAGCTGAAAGGCCTTTTTGGCAGCAAGACTGCAGGCTCTCCATCCCTGACATGACATGTCTCTTTCAATGCCTCTTCCTCCCTGGAGTGTCTGCCTGACCAGGCTAGCATGACTACAGTCGCTTCAGGTCAGTCTCCAAACAAAGAGCAGGGATCAATGTGCTTTTAACTGGGCGAGGTCAGCAGAGTGCTTTCACATGCACTTTGTGCACACAGATCCACACACATACACAGACTTTCCATTTTATTCCGTGGTTGTCCAGTTTGTATGGATGCCAGCACTTTAAAAAAGTAATAAAAATAAGGTATAATAACAAGAAAGTTTTTCATAAGTATATTTCATAATGAGAAGTTTCTATGTGTCTAATGATTACTAAAAAAGTTCATGTCATCATGAGGTATTAAATGATAATAATGCCATAATAAGTCATTATTTTGATAATAATCTTATTATCATGAGGTAGTTATGAGATATTAACTCATTATTTTTAAAATGCTGCATGATAATAATGAGATACTAAGTCATAATCACAGGGTAGTATCTCTTATGAGAACATTTTTCATCATGAGATACTAATATTTGGTCATAATTATGATATACTATTTCATGAGAAACTTCACATCATGATTATGAGAAACATTCTTTTACTGTGAATCTCTTCCATAATTTTGCTCAAATTTCTCTATTAAGTACAAGCGAAATTTGTGGGAAGCAGTATTTAAGTGCATCACTGAGTGTGTTTACATGCACTTAATATTCCAATAACTGCCGAAAAATCAGATTTTGTCAGTAATCCAATCAAGGCGTTTGCATGCCCTTGAGTAATCAGATAATGGGGAAACTCCGGGTCTGCATGAGTCAGGCAGTAATCGGAGGTCTGCTTTGCATCCATCCAGCCAGAGTCATTTTACCTGAAAACATGGACGTTCATTCTCTAGAAGATGGGGAATATTAAAATCCTTCATTTCGTCAAGGATGTGTTTGGTTTTCCTGTTGCTCATGTGTGTTTTGTTACCGTCTCGTGGGTGCTGAGTTAAACACTGCTTGCTTATTTCCGGTACCGTGATCTGTTTTCACACATGCACAGACTGAGAAATCCGAAAGAAATCAGAGTAAGAGAATACATGCACTGAGAAATCTGATTACTGAGGTAAAACCCAGCTCTCTTTATTGGATTTCTTAATCACATATGTAGTCCTTACTCCAATTTAAGAAGTTGGAGTATGCTGTTTACATGACCATTTGTATAATCAGATAACTGCAGAAATCAGATTATGATCAGATTATAAAGCGCATGTAAACGCACTCATAGATGCTTCAGTGTTGGGTTGAATCAAGCTTCTTAGTAACCCCATTCACCTTTGCATTGATCTACAGTGGCACTGTCACTTACAAATGACTCAGAAGCTGTCATGGCCTGCCATGGGCTTGACCAAGGACACTCCTTTGAGATTTTCTTTTGTTATATGCTGTGTCGTGACAACCGGTTCTGCTTCCATCCTTCCACAGTTCTTATTTTGGAATATTCACAAAGCGATAAAATCTTTTTCTCTCTGATGAAGCACTGCCCTCCCGTTCTTCATTTTCAACTCATTATAAAAGCGCCTCTCTCATGTATCAAGCAGCACCGCATCTGGAAGTGTTTAAGACAGAACTAACTTCTCCTCCAGTCACGGTGTCACCCCGCCCCCTTTCCAGCCCTGCCTCTTTTCTATTTACTTAAGCTGTTCTTTTCCTGTAGAGCTTTGCGTGAATACATAGCTTTAACAAGGGTTCCCATGTACCAGCCTGCGCCATTTAAATCCTGCAGATAAATGCGGCACAGCTGAGATATAGAATCAATCTCTCTCTGTCTCTCTCTCTCTCTCCCTTTCTCTCTCTCTCTCTCTCTCTCTCTCTCTCTCTATCTGTCTGTCTCTCTTTGTCACTCTCTTTAGGATAATTATTGTCAATATTCATGTTGCATTCAAGAGAGCAAAATTTATATATTGATTGTTGGAAACATTATTTATTTATTAAAAGTGAAGAGTAGCAAACGTCTGCCGCCAGTTCCCTTGCTGCTGAAAGTTTGTGAACTGAAAGCAGGACTGGACGAGGTGAACTCTGTCTCTCTTCATCTGTGGCAGTCATTTGAAGGCAAGGCATGTGGATGTCTGGCAGTTCTGTAGCTCACTGCCCTGGCTGATGGAAAAATCCAGACACTAAAAATGTCTTTCCAGGCCCAGCTTATTATTGAAAATGGCTATGTGAAATAGAAACCCTGTGCACTTGTGTCTTGGACATAGGGTAGGATTTTTTATATAGCTGTGGATCTGAAATGGCAGGGACAATGAAAACACCATCTTGCACGGTCAGTGGCACTGTTTACACATTTCCTGTCCAAGCCAATGTCCCAGCTGTGTAAGCAGCACAGGCCACTAATGGCCATGGAGCTAAAAACATGCCTGGGCATGATAGCTGCTTATTATATTAGAGTCTATATGACGTGACGGCTCGTTTCTTTAGCATCTGGGATGCCCCTAAATGCGCTGTGCCTGGTGTAAAAGCGTGGTATTTTGTTCATGGTGCTTCTATGCTATCGTGCATTCTTATCTGCCTGGTCCCCTCCCATTTGATAACAGTGTCTTGAGTCATTTGTATTCCATATTGACAAGAATCTGACTTCGTCTCCAGAGTCTGGGTAGATGCACAGAGCAGCACCATCACCTGTTTAAAGTAGAACAGGACAAAAAGGTGAGACTTGGAAATTTAACATATTTCAAGAACAGACACACAAGCCACTACTTTTTATTTATTTATTTTATTTTTTAGTTTATTTTCACCTGTTGTGATGGTGGTACCTAAAGTACCGCAAGAGGTAGTATGAACTTTCTGTTTCACACTTAGAGGCTGTTGGTGGAATCCTGAGACTTGAAGTGAAATGGTCCACAGCCTATAGAATGGCTAGGGGGACTGTATAATAGTGAGAGGGAGTCCAGCCGCCTGAAGCCTGCCTGCACGTGGCATCTGGGCTTGGCTCTAATGCCACCTCTCTGGTCCAGCTCCTTAGGCTTTTTTCATATCCCGGCACTCAGTGTGTCACCATGACAACTCAGATCCCAGACAGGAAATCAAAGCCAGTGTGGGAAGATGGCCAACAATGACACACAAGTTTGAAGTCAAGGCAAACTGTAGCTCAGAGAAAAGGCTATCTGTCCTCCTTCTTTTTTTCTGCCATGGAAAGTAAGGGAAC